TCTGCCTGCACCCCCGACATCAATGCCTGTCAATCATCCATCAAAGCGTGCGGCTCACCTAAACGATCACATGACCACCTCTACTTGTCATTCTCGTCTTGGAGCTTCCAGTAATCTGTGATGTGGGGCAGGTCGGGTGGGTCCAAACATGAGATAGGACAAGTATATAAATATACAATTTATTATAAAATTTTCAATTTTAAACTTATCCTATCTCACGGTATGCATAATCCACGGTTGGTAGGCGGGTTGCAGATTACCCGGTTACTACTACCACGGGAAAACGCGCATAACTCAAGGAGGCCAGGAGAAAGCACCAACTCGATATGCAAACTCAAACTTGAGATTTTTTTTTGTTTTGTGTTTTTCAGGTAACCCCTTGGCTTATACAGCACAAAACTCTAAGGAGTGGGCGCTCCCGAGTTAATGTGGTTTTCAGCCGCAACTTTTGACAAGCAAAAGGACGCAGTTTGGCAAGGAGGCCCCGCCATCCCGCGATTTATCAGGTGACCCCAGTGAATTAAAGTCCAGGACCTTAATCTGGACAGTCCCTGCTTCGAAAGTATCCCCACAGACACACGCTGGAAGGCGGTGAAAGAAGGAATAGCCTGGTTGCTCAACTAGTTTAACGTTCAGTACCAATCTCCTAACTTACCAAAGGTGAGAAAGGACTTAGAGCAGAACGCTTTGAAACCATACAGGTAATCGGGATCAACACTTCACTGGCGTGATTGCTCAAAGAGTAGAGGTCAGTAAGCGGAATGTCAACCTTCTCTACATGTAGTACAGGACTTGCCTCATAGTCTTCTGAGCCGACGTCAAGAGGCCTAGGAGTTCCTGCCATTGACGGAGCATCCTGGCTTGCGCTAGAGCTAGGGAGACCAACCGCTGTATCTGCAGAAACGATCCCTCGGGACAAACATTCTGTTGACCTGTGTGTCGAAAACAGCTCCGATGAATTGAAGTCGGCACATTGGGACTAGTTCCGATTTCTGCAGATTGATTAACCATCCTAATTGGCAAAGAAGCTGTATCGCAAACTGCATGTGACGAACCAGAAGGGCATGATCGTTCTGTGCCTGAATGCAGTCGTCGATGTAGGCTTCGAACACTGTCCTCTTGCGATGAAGAAAACTGGTGATAGGCTTCGTTACCCGTGTAAACAGCCCGCGGGGCGAAGAAATTCCAAACTGGAGAACACGCCATTGATAGTGGATGTCCTCGAAGATGAACCGAAGAATTTGCGATCGCCAGGAATATCGGGATGTGGAGGTAGGCATCCTGAAGATCCAAACTGACCATGCAGTCTCCTGGCTTGATAATTGTCTTGAGGAGTGCCACCGATATCATGTGAAAATGAGGCGGGGCTGCAGAAATTTCTCGTTGAAAGTCTTCATGTTGAAGATTAATCTCAGTTTGTCCGAATCCTTCTTGGGCACCAGAAAGATTGGAGAATAGAACCCTGGATTGGTCGGGGCCGGACCCAGGGATTCGATCGCAAGTTTCTTGAGTAAAGTGTTTATCGTTGATCACAGAACAGCCGATTGTTGTTTGGGATACGTTCTGCGATCCGAGTATTGTGGCGGAGGTTTCCCGATGACTGGTAACTGGAATCCCTTGGTTAACATGGACAGGACGTAAGGGTCTCCCAAAATTGTCCAATTGGGAGCAAGTCAGCCTCCTACTGGGGAAATCTGAATGGGTGCGACTGGAGGTGGAAGTTCCCAGTGGCCTTTCAATGTCAACAAGTCATTGCCTATCACGTCTCTGTGAGGTGGGCTGGTCGGTAGTGGAAGTTGATCGTGGAGCAGTGGCAGTTCTTCGTTGGCGACTTCGATCGTCCTCTTCGTAGGAACCCCTCCCACGAAAAGAAGCCGTAGAACCCGGCGAAGGTCCGGATTAGTCGGGACATAGTGAGCTGGTCGTCGCTGTCTCATTGATTGCTCCACTTGTAGTTGCTGGAACCTCAACAATTCGACCGAGACTTGTAGATGGGCATCCTTCCCTACTCTTTTCGGCTACTTCCCTAATCGTCTCGTTGAACAGAGAATTGCCCGACCAGGGTGGGTGAAACAGGTCCGTTCTGAATCTGTCTTCCCAGGATGATAATTGTAACGGTCCTCTACGCCTCATAGCCGTGACACAGAAGAAGAAATGAGCCAAGAGATCTAGGATGGTTTGGAATTGTTCCTGCAACTCGGATGTGTGCTTGCTGATGGGCTGTAGCATGCGCGACAGACATGGCCACCGCTTCAGTAGTTGTCAACATTAAGTTCAATGGAGCCATAATCTTCCTTATGGACGCATCTAAATGTATCAGTTCACGGTCTTCGACCAGAAAGGGCGAATAATCTCTCTGTTTCGTCCCCAACAGCGTGATATCATCATCTACTGGAGGAGAGGCAATCATAGATGACAATCCATGTACATGAGCCAATGCCAAGTTGAAGCGAGGCGTAGCAAAACCATCTTTAATCTTCCTCAAACTAGCAAAAGCCTCATCCAGGGACGCAGTCAGCTGAGTGATGCACGGTCGGGGAAGGAACATGATAGAACCAAAGTCTCCAGTCTTCATATCAAAACTGGATAAAATGTCATCCTTCAGTACTACGCTGTAACGTGAGGTCATCAGCAATCCAGATAAGTAGCTGAGGTGAGTCAACAGCATCCACACTCACATCCGAAGGAGACATACTTCCTGAAGACATAGACGGCGTTGTTGAACGTAGAATCTCTTGCACAGGCACCGCTGGCGTAGTCGAAATCCCTGATGACTGAGTAACAGGAGATGACACTGGCTCCTGATGCCGTATACACGCCAACACAAACGCATCAAAGTCCATAGGTTGAGACGTTGCCCCTCAGACACTGGATTCCAGGAAACCCGGCAAAACAGATCTCGCCGTCCGAAACTGTAGCAGAAGGAACTGATGAAATTGGTAGCAGCCCCAGAGGGAAGATGAGGTATGTCACGCAGCTGCGGATGAACATACATCTGATTGAGTCACGCCCACATGAGATGATGGCACTTGTGTGGTAAACGCTGAAACCTGAGGGAAGCGTTGAACCATGAACCACTCGCAATAGGAATCCCTGGAGTGGCGTTGATCCAATAGCACACTATGAGTAAAGCTGGCAGAACCTCTGTGGTGCACATTGACTGTCCGTACTTGACGGGCCGAGGAAGCTGCCCAGCTAGGCTGAAATGGGAGAGTGAGTGAATGAAATTTTCAGTCTAGAGGGGTTGTACATTGTCAAAGGGATCAGGTGGGGCCTCTGCACCAGCCAAAAACAGCCAAGAGGGTCCAGGGAGGGC